TTAACTTGATTCGTAATAAACCCGTGATGATAAATCAGATACGATGAATATATGAAGTTCATATATTTTGAACTGCGGTTATAGATATGTATGATGCACGATCCTCGCAGTAGACAGCGTTATTTATGCAATAGTGCAAATCAGACCTGAAAAAAATCAGGCCTGTACTCATTTACTCATTTTTTAACAGGTTAACAGTAGGCCATAAATACCTTGATTTTCCATTGGCTGTACAATTACATTCAGAATCCCTATGTGACCAGTGTAACTCATAAAGCACGATTTCACTGTGGCCACATCCATTCGCATCAATAGCACAAACAGTCCCATCCAATACTCTTTTACAGTAAGTGGAACAAACAAGTGTGGTGGGAGAACATTTAGAGGCAGGCTGATAGCATTTTTGTCCGCAGGTGTTACAATATCAGGATATTCAAACAGATTCAACTCCACAACATCAATCATCCACTTGATAACTTCTTTCAATAGATCATACTCATCTGGATTTATCATTCCTTGTCCTCTCACACTTTTAACTGCCCAACCCCGCACCTGATATAAAGATACATAAAATAACAAAACATAGTTAATTGGCTTCATTAACTGCTGATTTAATATAGCTCCTCTGTGGTATTCAGTACAGAGAATTGTGTATTACAACACACAAATAATAATCCATGGAGAATCCAAACTTTTAAATTTTGGAATGGTGAGGGAATTATATAAAATTCTGAAACACCCAAAGGCAATCAAACTCAAATGCAGTGATACACAACCTATCAGGGGGTGTTTTGCTTATCAACAGCCTCTGTGGGCAGTGTTTTTTTATTTACTTTTCCCCACCCCCTCCCCTCTACTGTCACCTCTACATCTCCAAATCAAAAGTAGCCAGTCAAATAAACAATCACCAGCTCCTTAATGTTAATTGGTCCTGATAAGACATCTGATCATTTTCCATACACTCTTGAGTGTTGACACTAATTCCACAGTGCTAAATTCAGTTACAATTGTAATTATTCAGTAATAAACATAAAATGTAATTGACTGGATGTAACTAAATCCTTCATCATACCTCTGGATCTGGATGAACAAGCAGAAGATATGCTCCAGGAAGTTTTTCCTCCAGTTTAAGTGGACAGCCCCACACATTCAGAGCAATAAGTCCTCTTTTAAACAATAATGCTAGCATCTCATTATGTAAGAAATATGGGAATCTTAACATTTCCAGAAGGGGAACTTGTAACTTCAATGGGACATCCTGGAAAGGTTTAAAAGGTTATTAACATCACCAAAAGGTTATTAATATCACCACTGACAAAAAGAGGTTTTCTTTGTTAAGGAGTGTGTCACTGAGATGTATTGCAGAGTAAATAGGGTGCAGTAAGGAACAGTAACTACACTGTATTTTCATGAGGCTTTGTAACATACACTGTACCTTTATCTGTCATACTTAAGGTGTACATGTACACAGTGCATGGCTATTTGTTCATTCCATTGTTCACTCATTTGTTTGTTCCTTCAATTTTTTTCCATTCAATCATACACCCTTCTCTGACACATCTATTCATCAGTATTCACCTTCACGTTAAGCACAACAGGTAAAATAAATAATTTTTAAACTGGCAGTGCAACCCTTTAGCCTGTTGAATTTTTAAAATTTCCGAGCAGGTAGTAATATTGTAGGAGGGGGTTGCTATAATGCGAGCCTGCAAGCCCGAGCCTTTTATGACGAGCCGGAGCCATTTTTGTGAGCCCCGGGAAAATAACATCCAAATCCATAATGCCTTTTTATGGTCATGGTCCCAAGCATTCCTTGTTTAAACCGCGGAAACTGAGGATGAGAATGCGACAACTTGTCTTATCGTGTGCTTGCTGATTGTAAACAACACAATTTTTGAAATGTTGTGTTTCAGGAAGGTTGCACGGCAAAGATTCTTGTCTTATATGCTGTTCTCAAATACAAACGCACACACCGTTCATCGTTGGCCCACACCAAACAGTGTTGAGCATTTTCGCTCAAACTACGAAAATACTGCCAAAACTGTGACAGCCAATTAACCACAAACTATGAAGCTGAGACGAACACCTAGCTCGAAGGTGACACTAACAACAGTGAATTGGATAGGGATACTGACAGAAGCAACATGAATAGTAATGTTAAATATCTAAGCTTAGCTCTTCCGTTAAATACCTGTTTCTGTAATTGGTTTCTATCGGGTTCAATACTTATAAAGTATGATTTGATATTTCGTACATAATCACTATTATTGTCGTGCAAGCGATCGTGAAAGTTGGTTTGCTCTTTGCATGGAGTTACGAGTGCTTAGTAGAAGATGTGATGAATACTCCTGATGACTGTGATCTACTACAAAAATTTTCCAATATGACCAATGTGCATAAACATAATGATGTTACAGTGTCAATAAAGGTAAAAAAAATTCAGAGCTCATGATGCATATTATAATTGTACTCGTGTTTTGTGTGAATGCTATGGCTTTGTAGTTTTGAATAAATTATACGTGCAGTGAATTCTCAAGTAAAGAGCTCGCTACCAAGCCCAAGTGAACGCTCCTCAAGCGTCTAGTTTGACATTTTTTCAGATTTTCACCGTCAAATGCTTTCTGGAGAGGAGCCAAAGACTGTTAGAAAGATATATATAGAACAAACAGTGGCTCACAAGAAGAGGCTCGAGGCTCGCAAAAAAATGGCTCTGGCTCGCAGGCTCGCACATTAGTTACTCTCATTGTAGGAGGTACTATGGGCAGTAGATTTCACTGGTCACTGCCTAAAGAGGAGAACACTACCAGTGAGAGAATAACTTAGAAAATTCTTAATCTACATTAATATATGACTTTCCTGACACTGTGTCCAAATAAATGCTGGGATAGGTCTACCCTGTATCAGGTCCCTCAAGGAGCATGTTGTTTCATGCAGCCTAAATCTCTGTTGCCTGAAGGCACTGTTCAATCAAGATTGTCTTTAAATCATTCCATTTCAGATTTTATGGCCATGAAGTCATGTGAAAAGTGATTCCTGCACAATGAATTTATCACCCAGGTTTGGAAAATGCAGGAATTTGATTTGTTTTTTGCTTGTGGATGGTATATTAAGCAAATTTTTGAATAAGGAGATTTTCTTGGTCATTTGCCTTGCATTTTTTAGTTTTTTTTTTTTTTTTTTTT